TCCTCGCGGATACGGGGCAATCTGGCGCTTACAAAATATAAGTAGACCGGACACGCGAGGAACAGACACGTGAACCGAGCAAATCTCCCCGTCCCGGACACGTGGAAACTAGGACAAGATTATATCATGCCGGCCAACGTATAAAGGCTACAACGTACAGGACAAACAACCTAGACGCCTGTAATCCAATTGTCCAGACCAAGGATGCTCAGTGACTTAACGGGGGACGAGGGAGTCGTCCGCTCGAGCCCCAAATAGTTAGATTACAATTAAAATGCGGAGAGCTTGTCACTTCGAACGGAACTCGAATGCACTAGCATCCTGCTGACAGGACACTTGTCTACGCTAAACTGGAAAACAAAAGGTCCTGATAAAAAATACTAAACACTAGAACTACCAACTTTTTTTTCAGTTATTGAGACAACTGATTCTCTGAGAAATTGATTTAGTCTCCAGAGAAATGTCAATACTGGTAGTTCCAGTGTTGATCTGACAGGTATAGGTTAGAAACGAACATTGGTGTAAGAAATGATTCGAATTGCGTGCCTGGTCGCTCGAAAGGAGGCAAGCCCTCCGCAGAACAATATTCAACATTTAACAATAGCCAACATTTATAGAGTAAGATACCGATTTAGTATTTTTATAGATCATTTCATTTCATCCACTTCTGTGTGTTTGTTTTTTTTTTAGCTTTTCTATCGTTTTTCCTTTCGTTCCACGATGTTCGCTAATTCATCCCCGTGTGCCAAGTGATCCTATAGTACTTCTCCCGTTCAGAATGCCGGCACAGTGTTCCTCAGTGACCAATGATATTGACTGCCCAACGGAAACATCTCCATTCTTATATTTATATTGCTATCGTTTTCACGTGGACGCAAATTACAGGACTCCTGTGTTCAGGGAGTCCCATTGAAACCAGGCGTGAGTATTATTCCAATAAAATCATTCCAACATAACTTCAGACTACTCTATGACACTTTCAGCGAGTCCCTTTCGTTCGATCTGTCATCTCCTGAAGCAGTCTTGACGAGAAACTACCAATGTCAGCTTGATGCTCCTGGTGCTCTTGTTACGTCTGAATGTTAACGCTAGAACTACCAGGGTCAAAATGACCAAAACTAATTTCTTTTAGAGTGACTGCAAACGTACAGATACTTAACCCCTTGCCTTGTAACGTGTCAGACTTGTAAAGATATTCAACACAATTCAAGAAACATAATTACTCTGTTCGTTCGAAATCAAAGTAAATATTATTCTTCTGCAATTATTTATTGTGTTTAAAAGGAATTTAAATTCAGCTTAATTAAAGCTCTTAAAGGAATTAAATTTCAGCTTGGGTATTACTTAATCAGCTTCTTTTATGATTTCTTTCTCAACTGTGATCGATACGAATACTTTGTCAGTAATAATTTATTGGAAAAAGAGGAAAATTCTATGTGTATTCTATATCTACGTTTTACAATATAATGATTAATAACAGAAGAATAACGTTTCATTTGAATTCAAGAGAATTTGAGTTATGTTTATGTTTGTTAAATCCTATTTAAAATATTCACCAGGAGTCTCACACGTTATTGTAAGACAAGGGGTTAAAGGTATACTTCAATCATTTTTCCTCAAGTCTGCTTCGGACAAGCTTTCTCCTGACTTCTGCTAGACAAAACTCTCGACTCCATATTCTTATTAATTGACAAACATTCTGGCAAACGGTCAAAAGAACGTAATACTAAATTGTTACTCCACTAACAACTATACTCTAATGTTCCCCTCTTTCCTCAACACTAGAACTACCAGATGAGTCAATATGACCCATCCCTCATTTATTCTTTCATAATAATTGAAAGCGTATAAATGCTTCTTCAAGAAACGATTAAAATAATTGATCTATTAATATACAATAAAATATAACTTAACCGACATCTTAATCAACTTCTATGCTTCCTATAAAAGAATGTTCAAAAATCAGTTCAACAGCTCAGTAGTTCTAGTGTTAGAAATTATGAAAACACTCGTATGACACCTAAACTCACTATAATCATCTTCCCCCGTGTACATGTCATTCCTTTGAGAATGAGAGGCTCCTTTGTCGCTTAACCCCTTGGCCTACAATATGTCAAACTCGCGGTGAAGATTTTGAATAGAATTTAACAAATATTTCTCATTACTTTCTGACGAAACATTAAAAATACTATTTGCAACTTATGTAAAGAAACATCTTGCATAAATTATAGTGCAGAGTTTTATTTCTGTTTCACGCGTTACTACCTTATTCAACATTTTATACTGAATTCTTCATTTTATAATTCTGCTGCGTTCAATCAAATGCAAAGTCGAGTACAAAGAGTTCTTCACTGTAATGCTCGAGTAGAATTCTTCTTTTTTCACTGAATCACAAACAAACCATTTACATTGACAAAAGGAACCGTAAGGCAAGGGGTTAATGACACCGAGCTCATTTCCCGTCTGCTTACAGGGAAAAGTTGGATGCTCACAAGTTGGAGAACACAAGAATTTCAAGCTTTCCAACAAGCTTTCCAAAGAAGCAACGCCGCTCGAAGCGTTAAGCGACTGATCGTTGGAAGAATATTCACATTTCTTGATCAATTGACATGCACCTACTCGTCAGTGACTGAACAACACTGTTCCGGCGATCACGACAACAGGCTTTAAACACCGTGATGTTAAAATTTAATATTGCACAACATCGATAACACTTCGAGTTTGTCTCAGGGAAAAGTTTGTGATCCACGATAATTACAATAGATGGAATTATCAATGTCTTTTTTCCTTGTATTCTTTGTTTTCCTCAGCCGCGGTGACCGAACGCTGATGATCTGGTGTATTTAGCCAATAATTTCAATAATTTATAATACTCTCCTGGTTAAAACAGCCAGGCGCAATTCTTGACAATTCCACAAGTCATTGGAGCAACGTTCCCGATTAAATTAACGTTAATTAATTAAAACTCGCCGCGTCAATATCCTGCGTCTCTGAAAATATATTATAATTCACCGATATACATCGTAGAGATCATAGTAATTAACTCAAAGAATACTAATTCTACTCCGTGTACATATTGTACACACATACACTACAACAGTGTATTGTATGTGTATATATATACATAAATATGTACAAGTGTATGCATACCAACTAATGTAACGTTAACGAGTAAAACTAGTTTAATATCGTTAGTGACCTTAATTAATAACTACGTCGATTAACCGCTAAGTCGCTATTCGTATATTTATAGGTTAACCGGAACGTTGCTAACAGCCGGGGAAATTGTCGAATACTATAATAATCCTTCGCGTGTTCACCGATCATGGAAAAATATGGAAATGTTAATAACAATGTAGCCATCAGCGTTGTCATCCGCAACGTATACATAAGTATACATATATATATATATATATATACATAAGTATATACATATACGTATATAACTAACATTATTATATTATTATGCTTAGCAAATATTTGTTGAAGATTTAC